GTCGGGATCGAATAACTGCTTAGCCTTGCTTAGACCGGTAGCGATCGGTGATATCCGGTCACCTACATTATAGGTGGTTACTGAAAGAATTTAGCTATGGAAAGAATGATATCCTGGAATTAACCATGTGTGATGGATAATTGGAGACCGGACGGAAAAGTTGGAGGCAACCGAATTGGGTTACGGGGTGCTTTGTTAGTTTCGTCAGTGTCGATTAAGAACCGACCGTTGTTGGCCCTCGAGTCATGTTGAACGCATGCCTTACATTTAGCTGGCGGATAAAGTACCTTCCGACCGCTGAAGTCGGGAGATTTTTCGGCGAGTAGATTGCCCATGCGCCTTGTGACCTTGGGAAGCGGTGTGGTAGGACACGGGCGGGATGATAAGACCAAAGTGCGATCGGTCGGCCCCGGTACATGTGGTTCTGGCAAACTCGAGATACCGAAAAGTTGACTCGGTGATCAATATCTCACTTTAGCGGGTGAGTAAGGTTTGTGTAAGGAATAAATCACCACCGGGTTAGGAATCGATTCGAATCGCCATCGCTCTGGATAGTGAGCACTTGACTCGAGAAGCTTGCATCGTAGTAATTATTATGGAACAATGATGGTTATCTGGATGGTATGGGATATGCTAAATCTAAATTGGTAACTGGATGTTATTGGTTAATCAAGTGATTGCTATAGTACAGTGCTTACCTAGATGGATAGGTCATAATAAAGATGATGCAAAGTACTTAAAATGGTTTCTTCATGATAGCTTATGCTTTTACTGAAATAAGTCGACTAGCCCACTAAAGAAATCCTTGCATAATCCTTAGTGTCACTTTATTTACGGTTTCTGACGGGTAAGTCTGGCCGAGTACATTCAGTACTCGGGGTTTTATCCCACCTTGTTGCAGGTAATGTTCTCGACCTGTTGATGATGGTGGCTAACCACCGATGGGCTCGGTGATTCTATACTTACTTCTCATCTATATGCTTTTGTCGGATGATGTCACTATGCTAGCAATATATTTGGAACTTATATTAATGTAATCATTTGAAAGCTATGTTGTTTTCACTAAGCGGTTTTGAAACCCCAAACTTGTACTACTAATTGTTAACTCCTTTGTAATATTATTTCCACTGCAACCTGATGTATGTGATGTGTATTTGCTTAATCACGCGATCTTGGTTGTGATGTTGATTTACCGAGGTCTTTCGGGACACTCGGCGGACTACCGGATTTATATGAGTGAAAGTATGGGTGTGTCAACGTGTTAGCGGGGACAACCGTACTTGATCTTGTATAAATTGGGCGGTTCTGTCACATGTGCAAATTGTTCAAACTGATCAGCAGCAGATGGTTCCAACTTAGGAGATAAATCACCAAGTTGCTTAACTAGAAGCTCCTGCGCTACTTGAATTGTCCCTTTTCCAATTTTGCTTTTGGCTTTGTTAGCAAGTCTACTACTTTTGCGTTGAGGACTGGATTTGTTCCCCTTGCGAAAAGGAGTACGAGGTGACCGAGCAGGGAACCCTTTTCAGGAACAAAGGAGGGTAGCTGGAGTTGAGAAGGTTGCATAGTGCTAGAGTTAAAAACATCAGTCTTGAGCTTCCAAATTTAAACTAGGTTGTTGCTAAATCAATGGGGGAGATAGCGGTCTGGTGATTGATATAATGAAATCATCAATGCCAAGTGTTGGAATCACATCTGACGAAGGGCATTTTTCTTTGATTGATTGAACCGAGCTGTCAGGTACCTCTATTTGTAGACTGCTTGGTGGCACAGATTGCACTGCAAGTCCACTCTTTAAAGTTTCACCATTGACTCCCGCTTCTGTTTCAAGGTTCCCTGGCCCAACTTGTTCAACCATCAAAGTCGGTGGTGTGGAGATGCCCGAAGTTGAATATGTGGCGATGTGTTGTTCAGAGTGATTCATTTCCTGTACTTCATCATCGAGAATTGGCCGCGATGAAAAACCTGAGCTGAGATTAGGTACAGTCTCGTCCAGTGACGAATCAGCAACAGTGATCGGGTTCAACTGGTCAACCTGCGATGGTGAGGTCCACTCATGATCTGTTGCCGCATTCAGCATCCCCAGGATCTTGTTTGCTGTGAATAAAGGCGGGGTGGTGGCATGTGGTGTGTGGATGAGTGACTCGTACTACATGGGATCACAACTGAAAATACTCTGTTTTGGTACCTCAACGCTGAACATGTTGCCCTCGATGAGTAAGTCACTATTGTCTAACACCGGCGTTATTTGTTCCTCACAAACTTGGGTAAGAGGCGTTACAAATGTGACGTGCTTGGTCTTTCTCGTGCTACAACCTTGAGAGCCTTCATGGGATGAAGCTGCAACAAAACCTCCTAAATCAGAGTACCGTGCTACAACCTTGAGAGCCTTCATGGGATGAAGCTGCAACAAAACCTCCTAAATCAGAGTACAAAAAAGGTGGGGAGCCCTCCTTGCTGCAATCTACTCTGCGATGTGGAGAAGAGGATTCATGGTGCACCCTAGTGCGATCCCAACATGAGATGGCTTTGTGTCCCACCTTCAAGCATCACCAACACCTCACTTGATATCTTGAACTAGAATAGTATGTCCTTTTAAACTGCGAACAGGCATACGATCTATGGCCCTCGCCTAGGCAACTCCAGCAACGAGTTGCCCTTCTGCAATCTGCAACTCTGTGGTTAGGCGACAAGCAATTGAAGCATTTGCCTTCTACATGAATGAAGAACTTTGACTTCCTCTTAGCCTATGCAATGGTCTGGTAAGCGATAGTATCCTGGGCTTGCTCTGTTCTCATACTCTCTGCCCCACAATTTTGGTAGGTAACCCTTTCTCTGTGAACTTGAGTCCTCTGTGTTCTGATTCCACCAATAATCTGGGCGAGCCTTAGTCCACCCAACATCACTGTCTTCCAAAATTGCTTGCCTTGAAATTGCCTGATGCAGCAGCTTATTTGGAGCAAAGGCTATGGTGAAGCCATTGGGCACAGACCTGACATCAACCTTGAGATGTTTAGCTGAATGGGCTTTCTCTTCTTCTTCCACCTCCGCCACCTTCACCTCAAAGCACCATTTCTCTTTCTCTTTATAGGAGAGCCTACCTCTAAGAAGCTCTTCTTGAGCGATGTTGGGCTGCTGCAGGTTGGGGTTAATGGCGTCCATACTCTGGCTTGATGCATTAGGCGGATTGGGGGTGCTTTTGGAGCAAATCTTGAACTATCGGGTCCATTTGCAGGTTTGTGGTGTGACCGGACGATTGCCTTCGCTGCCTTGAGTGCAAGAGAGTTTGCAAATCCTTGGCAAGATCTGGGAGAAAACCCTTAACCTGAGCCTTTAGTGCCGGATCGATTTCCCACGGACTTGACACCACATCAAAATCTGGAGGATCTTGTATTGTGTTTTCCGTTTCCAGGGTTGCAGTCGATTTACCTTGAAGGGAAGGCTGCACTTCACTGACCGGAGGCTCCCAGGCTTCATTTGACCCATGGGGATGTAGATAATGGTGAGGAGCATCTAGATCTTGCGGGGAATCGGCTGATTTGGCTGCATTTTTCGTGGGTTTGGGTGGATCGGTGGTTTGGGGGAGGTCAATGTCGGGAGGCAAGGGAGGAGCGGACGGGAGCATGTCTCTCACCATGGGCGAAGCTAGCTGTTGCGGCTCCCCTTCTACACTCCATGGAGCTCGATCTGGACTGCTAGTTACTTGTTGGGGCTGGGAATTGCTGTGTTTTGCTCCACATTCACGCCGCTCATACACCACGAGCAGGGGAGTAGGAGCTGCGACTTACCTAGGGGCGGCAGATCCTTGGCGGGGGAAGGTGGATTTGAGTGCTGGATGGTTGAATCAGGGTTCGGGAGCTCGGGTTGGGGGTTGGGTGGGGCGGGCGACACGTCGCCGTCGGGGGGCGGAGGAGGAGGAGGGGGCTGGGTGAGAACCATTTCTGTCAAGCAATCCCTACAAAATAGCAGAATTCATAGAACCAAGCCAGTAGATACTTACAAATATTCCTAAAAAAACTAATCCATGAGTTCCAGAATTTCTCAAAGTCAAAGGCACTGGAGCTTAATGTCCCTATTTTTTAATAACCAAACAACTCAACTGAGATACTACATGGAGTAAGCAAATTTAGAGTAGGAACTAATGTTGTTCCACTCCTTGAGGATATGGATTACCATGAAGCTGTCCTTTTCCTTATCTAGCATATTTTCTTAGAAATTAAGCTCACAAAACATGTCCAACTCGGGTGTAGTTTGCAAGCATCATGTGAAGCAAAACGAATCATAGAGATCCATCATCCAACAGTGGCTGTACATGCCAGTATCAATTGTCTAGAAGACAGGCATTTTATCATATACTGGCTCATGCTCAACGAAAATATAAATGGACATAGTGATGGGAAGGAAAATGGCCAGCATTATCAATAAAGTAATTATGTAAGTAAGCAAATAAGTTCAGCTAGGGAACCCATACTCATTTATGCTCTACATCATTTTTGGATAGGAAGCAGAATTAGCAAGTAGAAAACATGAGGTATGCAAGCAAACAAAAGAGCTCCAATTTGGACAACCAAAGGCACATGTACTGCAGTAAAGTAAAAGCACTAAAGAAAATTGACCTTTGGACAGCAGGTTAGCAGTCGACATCTGCGATCAGCTGAGGAAAGCCTCGAACGTTGTGCAAGCAAATAAAAGACCTCCAATCTGGCAACTGTAACACACGAGACACATGCAGGGAAAAAGTTAACTGCCAAAAAAAAAGGACTCTTCATAAGCAAGGATAAAAATGAGAAATGAAACTAAAGCATGTAATTGTTAAGGCAGGAAGTAGAATCTTCAGGTACAGTCCAAACAGTGGATACACATCTATGTACCCTACATCATTTGAGGACGGGAGCTGGAAACAGGAAACAAGAATCACGTAAGAAAGAAAACTGGTTGGGGGTAAGGATCCATTACCAGGATCGAGAGGGCCAATGAATGTGATCAATATTCTGTAAACCATGCTTGACAACGCGACATCAATAGTTGCAAGGTCTGACACTCAAGAAGACAATTCACAATTACCAGAAGAAACTGAGGACACAGAAAATGCAAAAAGCAATACTGCTCTTGCTGAGACAGCAGGTCTAGAAACAGGTGCAACCGCAGATCTGTAGTCAATTTAATAAGCATTTGATCAGTACATCAGATCTGACAAAAACGTTACATTTCAGGGTACATTTCATTTGCAGTCGAGTCATCATCTCTGCGAAGCAATTTATGTTGAGCAAAGTAACACATATAAAAAATATTTCGATAAATTTTGAATTCATTTTTAAAAGTTCTTATTTAAAAATAATATTTCTAGTCTGATTTATATCCCAAAACTTTTAACTTAGTTCGATTTGTCTCCTTTGACGTGGTGTCACGTCAACAAAACTAAATAGATGCAAAACCCAAATGATTTGAAAAGTTAAGACGGTAAAAAGTCGGTTTTGTAAAGTAAATCGGACGATCCTAAAAGTTGAAGGTCAAAAATAGTTTAAGATTCATGTCTAATAGAACTGGGCCTCGTGTCGCTCACTAGGCTTAGCCCGTTTGGCCATCGATAGTTTCCTTCCAGTAAAAGTCCAGGCTCAGGCCCATGTAAATGGCCCTACACGGACCGGACCTGCCTATTCGCTGCAAAGCCTGCAACCCTCCCTTTTCTCCTTACGTTACCCAGCGTGCGCGCTGCACTCTCCCTCCCCACTTCTCTCTCGTGGCGACGGCGACGACGACGACTGGGCGGCCGTCGCAGCCGCGCTACTCGCCAGGTGCCCAGGTCTTCTTCGGCCCCTTCGCTGTCGACGAGCACCATCAGTTACGCCCGCCCCTTGGTCTTCTCTTCGTGCTGTGCGAAACTGAGCACCCAAACCCTAACCTACTATTTGTATTCGGATCTGATCTAACTACAAGTGTATGTGCATGTATTATGCCTACTAACTTCGATTGCTTTGCAAAAATTATCGGTGTACATGTGTACAGCCACGTCCTTTACTGGGTCCGCCCCTGCGTTCACCCCAGCTTATTAGTATAAGCTGTTTGGTGCCGCGCGTGTATTTACCATGTTTTTGCTATGATTGATTGTGCCAGGGCAACCAGGATACTTCAGTGGTTTCGCAAGGATGTCCTGGTGCACTATTGAGTCTGATCCTGGTGAGTTTGAGCATGGTCTCATCAATGACTATATGTACTGTTCCTTGTAATTTCCGATTCATGGGAGGTGTATGGCATGGTAGCGCACGGGCAGGATACTCCCTTTTTTTTTTTCTGCCCGTCCAGCTTCGCATATCATGCATTTTCTGTGTTTTGCTCATAAGTGTAGTGGGCTCGGTTATACTTGAAATATCTTCAAGGGCGTACCCAGTCAGAGAGGGCTCCCGCTCTGTGTGGGGTCTGGGGAAGAGTGTCAGTGGCAAGCCTCACCCTCGCCTGTGCAATGCGAGGAAACCGCGACTCAAACCCGGGACCTTCCGGTCACAGGTGGTAAGACTCTACCGCTTGCACCAGGCCCGCCCTTTCATCATCTTTTTAAGTCATTCAGCATGTGCTCTTCACTGTTCCTAATAGTAGCGTGAGAAAACAACTTATGTCATCAGTCATCACACTTTTGAATAATCTACCGACCATTCGTAGGTGGTAGCTCTGTTCTTTGGCATATTACTTTCTCCCTACTTTCATGAAACAGCAAACCATTGATGAGTTGAAACGCATTTTGTTATGCTTACTTCCATTTGTACTTCTGTCTTTGTTGTTCTTATCGGTGTTTTAAACCATTGCTTATGTTTTACTTGAGCAGGTGTGTTCACCGAGCTGATTCAGCAAATGCAAGTGAAAGGTGTACAGGTTAGCTTCCAGGGCTCTGTTGCGTTCCTTGCCTAAACTGTTTGTTTTCTATCTACTGTTTTTTTTCTTATCCTTTGAATTATTATTGTATCTGCAATGGCAGTATGCACTCAGACCTGTTCATTCACTAGTGTACACTAGTTCTTCTGAAGATTTGTTTCTTCCTCATGCTGTGAAACTGACAGCAACCTGGAACTCTCATTTTAGGAACTGCCTTACTGCCAAATATGACTGTAGGATAAGCATAATTAATATATGGCACGTAGCTGATTGCAAACTTGTATGTCAACAAGATTGTGAAGATGTGCACTATAGTTTAAAGAAGAATAACTGATGATTTGCTGTCAATAGTTACTTTTTTTTTTACCTTTGTGCAACTGTCAACTCAAATTCAAATGAGAGGCCTTGAGTGAGATTTTGTTCTTCACTTGCTTATTCACTTGCACTCGTTCAGTATGGGACCTCTAGTCACATGACAACATGCCAGCTACCAACTATGTTTGAGGTCATGCTTTTATTCTTGAGTTTGATAATGCTGGTAAGACATTTATATATTTGGGTTGTTCTTTGAACAGGTGGAAGAGCTTTATTCTCTTGATGTGGACTCTCTTAGTCAACTGCGGTGAGAATCTTTATTCTTTTATGTCATCAATATCTGCTATCTGAACGCCCTGAACACATATTCTTCCTCTCCACTTTTCATAGGCCAGTATATGGGCTAATTTTTCTCTTCAAGTGGATATCTGGGGAGAAGGATGAACGGCCTGTTGTCAGAGATCCTAATCCAAACCTTTTCTTTGCACACCAAGTTAGTTCCATTCTGGCCCTTTTAGCTTACCATGTTTGCTACTTTGTGCTTAACAATAACAGCCAATCTATCTGCTTATTTTCAGGTCATCACTAACGCATGTGCTACTCAAGCTATTCTCTCAGTTCTCATGAATCGCCCTGAAATTGACATCGGTCCAGAATTATCACAATTGAAGGAATTCACAGGAGCTTTCTCACCTGATCTGAAGGGCTTAGCTATCAGCAACAGCGAATCTATCCGGACATCTCATAACAGCTTTGCAAGGCCAGAGCCATTTATTTCTGATGAGCAGAGAGCCGTGACTAAGGATGATGATGTTTACCATTTCATAAGCTATTTACCTTTTGAAGGTGTCCTGTATGAGCTGGATGGGCTGAAGGAAGGGCCTGTAAATCTTGGGCAGTGCGGTGGTGCTGATGACCTTGATTGGCTACGGATGGTTCAGCCCGTTATTCAAGAAAGGATCGAGCGCTACTCACAGAGTGAGATCAGGTTCAATCTTATGGCCATCATAAAGAACAGGAAAGAGGTGTACAATGCTGAGCTGGAGGAACTGGAGAAGAGAAGGGAGCAGATTTTGCAGGAGATGAACAAGACTTCCGCCACAGAATCCTTGAACAACTCGCTTACAGAGGTGATATCGGCAATCGAAACTGTCACAGAGAAGATGATCATGGAAGAAGAGAAGTTCAAGAAGTGGAAGACGGAGAACATTCGGAGGAAGCATAACTACATCCCTTTCCTCTTCAACTTGCTGAAGATGCTTGCAGAGAAGCAGCAACTAAAACCTCTGGTCGAGAAAGCCAAACAGCAAAAGTCGTCAAGCCCTAGCACAAGATGATGGTGAAATGTCATATACTGTGGTAGCTTTTGCGATGTCCTCTGTGAGCGTGTTATCTTATCAGAACACATTGCCTAGTTGGCTGCTTAGAGAAATTATTACCAAGGTTATTGACCATTTTGCACGCTGTGTTGTGTCAGCAGCTACGCCATTTTTGCTGAGTACGTACGTTGAAGTGGTCAATTTTAGTCGTTTATTTTTGTGTCAGGTTAATTGTCCCTGTGGATTATAAAACGCGTTGAAGGCTGTGGATCGTTTTGGGTAATATTTTTGAGATACCACTTGCTAGTTGAGTACGGGATCCATGTTACTTGTCGGGGTTAGCCACTGGGAAATGCGAACTAAGCGCCTGTTAGGTGCGGCTCCCTTTCGGAAGGGCCGCACCAAACGATGCAGGTTGGAGGACTGCTCCATTCATATAGCCTGTACGCTTTTTGGTTTCAGCTAAGCTTTATTAGTCAGCTAATAGTGTTTTTCTCTTATAACAAACCAGCATTAGTCGGGCTTATCAGTCCAGAAACCAACCAACGAACTGGCCGATAGAATGGGTGAGGAGCTGTTTTCTTGTACGGCACGCGGAGCTGAGATTTCGGGCTTCGGTAGAAGGGCTTCACCTCCATCTCTAGCTTCGGCAGCGGATCTGCACCAAGCGATGCAGGTCAGTGAGAAGGAGCCGTAGAATGGGTGAGGAGCTATTTTCTCGTACGGTAGGCAGAGCTGTGATTTCCGGCTTGAGCACGCGGAGCGGAGCCTTGCCGAACAGCCCCAGAAGTTTACGGGGCTACAGTGCAGCACAAAGATATTGTATTGCTTCCTAAAAGAAACAAATATTTAGACCGTGAAATATATACTCTGATTATACCATTAATCCTTACCGCTATCTTCGATTACCTACACCACCTTTTTAATATACTCCCTTTGTTGTAAAATAATTGCATAACTTTGTTTTGCAAGGAATTATTTTATCTGTTTCTTGAGAAATCATTTTTAAATTTGATCAAAATTATAGAAACTATTATCACTATTTGTATCTTCTAATGTGTTTATTATTGCTATGAAAAGAGATTTCATTATTAACTAATGATACTAACTATACATCATACTTTATTAGTATCTTTATATGTATTTGATCAAATCTAAAAGTGTGAAAGTCATGAACGACAAGTAAACAAAAACTTGGGGGAAGTATACATATTTTCAAGGGAGTAATGTGAAAGTTGCCATGCGGAGGAAGTACATATTTTAATATACATCCCTTTTTATTTTTGTGTGGAAATATATGTATCATTTAAAAAAAATCCCTACTAGTAGCTCTGTCGCGGCAAGCCCAAAAACAGAAAACGGGTGGACGGGCGGATAATAAAGTCCAAAAAAGCCCAACCAGCCCCCCTCCCCCCTCTCCTTCCGCACTTCACTTGGAATCCATGGCGTAGGCCCAGAGAGATCTAGCTAGAGTTTCCCGCATCTGCCTCCGCCTCCGCCCCCCACTGCCCCCGCGCCGCCCCGCCGCAGGAAGGAAGGATGGAAGCCCCGGGCTCCCCCTACGCCTCCTCGCCGGAATCCGCCCCCAAGCGTGCCCCCCGTTCCCCTCCGCAGCAGCAGCCTCCCTCCGACGAAGGAGGTAACTGCCACGCGTCTCTCTTCTCCGTCCCGTCGCTCGCGCGGGTTCGCTCTCCCCCGGCGTCTGTATGTACGTGGCCCCTGAGTGCGCGTGCCTGGCTGCAGCGTGCCTGGATCCGTGAGATCTGGGCCCCCGCTTCCCGCCCCGATGCCGAGATCTGTAAGCAGTTGGTTGGCGCCAGTGTCGCGTCGCCATCGGTGCGCTGCGATTTGAGCTTCGTTTCCCTTAGGATCGCCTTCACGGGGTTGCCCTAGTACCGCTTTGCTTTGCTTTGCTTTGTTGTCTCCACTTCCACTCTTAATGATAAACGTCACTGCGGAGGACGTTCGGTTCAGAGCTGGTTTAATCTGTAATAATGTTTGTCCTCGGTTGGATTGCTGACGCCGTTGCACATCATGTGTTGCACATCATGTACTGGAAGCTGATAATGATGCGGGTTATTATGTGGGCATGGCAGGCTTAACCTAGGACATTTAACTGCTGGATGCCGTGATAAATGTGACACTTGGTGCATAATAGTTAGTATAATGATGGCACCCCCGAAGCTTAGTGTTGTAAATTATTCCTCCTCTCTGCTTAAAGAGAAGTTTCAGTTACAGATATGGTCCTGTTTGAATTAAGTGTAGGTCATTGGATGGAAATAAGTATGCCAAATTCATACTGTAGCTATTCTAACCTACAATGTCTGCTATCCTGAAAATGTTGGGATACTATAGTTTTCAACTGGTTATGTTTGTGAAAATATGCTAATTGGTGATGCTTAAACCATGGTACTTGGGATCTGTGACTCTGTGCATGTACTTGTGCATAGACTAAAAGTTGTTTCTATGATCATTTATAGCCCTCTTGTTGAATGGTACCTCAGCCCTGTACACTTGTCCACGTAGTCAGTTCTGTTGGTAACCTATATGAACCCACTAGAAGCCAGAAGGTAGGATAAAGCTTGTGGCCTACCCCTCAACCAACTAGGTGAAATAGTTTTGTCAGCTTAAGACTCCATCCTATGTCCTATTCCACGTAGTATGTTGTGTACATTGGTTCTGTTCTGTGTATGGGCAATTTGGATTTACTTGCTTACTGTTTTCTGGATTTGTGATTTTTTTAACTGAAATTATTTAAGCCATTGCATCCTTAGGCTTCAACTGAGTTAATAGATGTACCGGTGGTTTCCAGTTTCAACTGCAATATGCATCAACCTTGCTGTTTTTTAACTTATTAAAAACTTAATGATTAAACTCATAATGGTTTAATAACTATTGAGATTCAACATATTTCTGAAGTTTCAATTGATATTTCTTCTCAGATGACAAGGAGAAACCAACACATTTGAGGTTTCTGGTGTCTAATACGGCAGCAGGATGTATCATTGGCAAGGGTGGATCAACTATTAATGACTTTCAGTCCCAGTCTGGGGCTCGTATTCAGTTATCACGTAGCCATGAGTTTTTCCCTGGTACAAATGACAGAATCATCATGGTTTCTGGACTGTTTGATGAAGTAATGAAGGCCATGGAGTTGATTCTCGAGAAACTTTTGGCTGAGGTAAAGCATTTTATTTGCAAGTGACTGATCCATGGTTGATGATTGATGTTCTCCACTTACTTTATCAGGGTGAAGAATTCAATGAAGCTGAAGCTAGACCTAAAGTTCGACTTGTAGTTCCTAACAGCTCGTGTGGTGGGATAATTGGTAAAGGTGGAGCAACTATAAAGTATGTATATCTTCGTAGACCTGTTCTACTTTGTTGTGTTATCAGTGGTTTTGTTCCTATTGTGGTAGTTAATTTTATTTACAAGCCAGTGGTATATGATGTTTCGACAAATTAACCATGCTACTTAAGTAGTTAAGTAAGAAGCATACTGTTCCTACTTTTGCAAATAGTCTTCTAGTTGTTTGATGGTAAATTTGTTTTTCCAGTCCTAAATATCTTTTGACTCATTTATATTCCCATTTTATATGGCTGTTCTTTTTTACATTACTCTGCATGTTGAAAGTTGGTGTGTTCTCTTTTCTCTTCAGGTCATTTATTGAAGAATCACATGCTGGAATAAAAATTTCTCCACAGGATAACAACTATGTTGGTTTGCATGATAGGCTTGTTACAGTCACAGGAACCTTTGATAATCAGATGAATGCTATAGATTTGATACTGAAGAAGTTATCTGAGGATGTTCACTACCCACCTAATTTGAGTTCCCCATTTCCATATGCAGGTAAATCCTGGCATCTATGACTACTTGATGTTACCACATGTATATCTGAAAATGTCTCCTTATGACCTCTTCCTTGCATCTGTCTTTTATGTATCCCATCTGCATTTCACACTTTATGACAACATGCATTTCTTGGAAACATAGTTGAGCTTTCTTGTATATCGACATGTGGTATTTGCAGTACCATTTGCTCGTCATGGTCAAGCTTGGCATTTCGATTCTATATTGATCACAATATTCTGCGATTGATTCTGTTCTTTAAATTTAATCAGGTCTTACTTTCCCAAGCTATCCTGGTGTTCCTGTTGGTTATATGATTCCGCAGGTGCCATATAATAATGCTGTGAACTATGGACCTAATAATGGGTACGGAGGAAGGTACCAAAACAACAAGGTTAGTGTTTTCTCTGGGTTGCTCTGCTTGTTGTCATGCTATTCTGTAGGTGCATTGCAATATGCATGCATTCAGTCCATCTTTGTTGAAACTGAGCTATTCTATGTTTTCTTTTGTTATGCATTAGAGAGGTAGGCTGGAGCCTGGAGGGCTGATATGTATGTAATGTTATCTAATGGAAACACTGTTCTGTAGTGTAATCATGTTATATATTCTGTTCTGAACAAATTCAAAGAAATCTCATGGAGACAAACTTTGATAGTACAAGTTGGAGGTCTCATAAATTTAAGGTAATATTGTGCTAGCATTGTCGTGGGCACTATTGATCTTTGTTGAATTGTTGTGATTACAGAGTGCAACCTAACATTAGAATGATGTTAATGAACCAGTGTAGATGTTTGATTTAATTTGCATATGCTATTTTTCTTGCAGTTTGACACTTATATGCTTATATTTATGACTTGGTAATACTGCTCGTATGCTGAGATGTTTGAAATGCTATTATGTTTTCTGTGAACATTATGTAGTTTTTTGTTGGTTGATGTTGTGCATGTCGTGGAAAGTGTGGCTTTTGGTGGAAAACACGAAAGAACTTCACCCATTGTTACAATTTAATCGTTTTTTTTGACATACATATCTATACTGTTGCATAAATTTGAGTTAACTATTTGCTGTTGACACTTTGCAGCCCAGTACACCTATGAGGTCGCCTGCTAGTAATGAAGCCCAAGAATCTTTGACCATTGGTATAGCCGATGAACACATTGGTGCT